AGCTGTTCTCACCTGTCCTTGTCTTTCCTTTGTATGTATTTCATCTATATTACTTCATATGGCTGCTTTAGGAAAAATAATAATTTTAGATTAGTTTCTGATTTAATTATTGCATTGTTATGCAAAATTAAACAACTGTGCTTGGGAGATGAATATGGGGGAGGGGTCGCAGTCATTGCAATTCAAACTCTTTTAAAGGTTGAAGGAGATATAGAATTCCTGAGGAAACTGTAATCCTATATTATTCTTCCTCTTTTTCTTCCTTTATTTTTCAATCTGTATACTGGAAACTGCAGCAATTATTGCTGAATGTTTTTAAAGGTGAGGGTTTTTTGCACTCACTCTGACTTTATCTCTTTGCTAAGCTAATGGAAACATCAGGTACTGATATGCTGAATGATTCAGACAACAGAGCACCTATAAGTCCACTGCATTTAGCTGTAAGTATTTCATTCTTTAATGATGATAGCTCATCTCATTGCAAACAGTTGTTGACATAGGTTTTTTCATTCTGGATTTTTTTAAAAATAGGTCAATAACAATAAATGAAATCCAAAAATACTTACTAATATTCCTGAATGAGCTATACAGGGCAGTTTTTCCATTTGACTTGAAACTTGCTTCATGGAACAGCTTTCATTTGGAATATTCTAATTAAGATTTATGTTATAATTTATACTAATAAAACTTTTAGAAGACTTGTTCTGTAAGTAATGATAACTGGTTTATATCCTCATTTTACCCTTATCGATGTTTAGTATGAGACGTGTTTATCCTTAATACTTTAAGAAAGATTTGCACAAAGAATAGCTTAAGAGAGGACCTGATGAAATTGTCTATACGAATATACTCAAAATACAGAGTAACCAGCCCAATATGTAGCTTTCATCTTTTGCACTGAATTTGGAGCAATTGAAAAACCACAGTGTACTTTCTGAAAATCGCCTGAGTCTCATGCAGTATATATATATATCTATCTATCTGAAGTAAGAAGTAATCTTTAATACTGGTAAATGAAAGCAGTTAGAAGAGACTGTTCCTGGAAATCAGTTTTGTCTGGGGCCAGACAATGTATCCATGTGTATACATTTAAAATTTATTATGGAAATTATAAAACTATAGTTGTAGATGTTTATTTTCATTACTAATTTGGACATTTTGTCTTAACACATACCTACAGAGTATTCTCTATGCTATTTTTTATCCTTGTACATCTATTCTGATCTCTTAACTGTTTCATCCCCCAAGTCCCTTCTGTTTTACCAGCTATGTTAACTGTAGCTATTTGTACTGTATTCTTTTTACAGACAAATTTTACTGGCTTTTTCTTTTTCAAATATTTTGTTAAAAAAAACTAATAGGAATTAGTTAAGTTTGCACATGTTCCTCACTTGAAATAATCTGATGGTGATGTAACTATAACATAAAGCAATGAAACATGCAGTATTCAAAATACTGGTAGTTATACAAATTGGAGACAGTTGATTTTCTGAAAGTAGTTTCAGTAGCTGACTGAAAGGCTAAAGTGGAAAAAACCCACCAACCTTCTTGCTGAAATTGTGGTGTGGTTTTTTTTAAATTAGTCATAACTATTGTAACTAGATACATGCTGCATCAGTAGCTCTTCCACATGTTAAAACAAAAATACTATCTTCACAGTTTCATATATGTAATCCCAGTAAGAAAGGGAAAAATATGAAGGATGGGAAAAGTGAAGAATTTTCTTATTCTTGTAGGCCTATCATGGCCACCATCAAGCTCTGGAAGTGCTGGTACAGTCGCTGCTGGACCTTGATGTGAGGAATAATAATGGAAGGACACCATTGGATCTTGCTGCCTTTAAGGGACACGTGGAATGTGTAGACGTGCTCATTAATCAGGGAGCATCAATCTTGGTGAAAGATTATGTTGTAAAGAGGACCCCAATACATGCTGCAGGTATGTGCTAACTGCTAACCTCTAAAATTTTGGCTTTTGAAGTGGATCATCTTCATGTTCAGAAGTCTCGATCATTAATGTTCTAAGAAATGGTGTTTAGGAAAAGGTGATTTTTAAGGTATATGCTATGCTGAGAAAGGTGTAACAAAGCAGCTGTGGGTAGAAACCGGTGTTAACCCAATAAATCATTTCAGCTTGAGGTGTGCTCTTCCACACTGCTCTCTGACAGGGTGCATTGTCCTTGTCCATTCAACTAGCTTGGCTATCTGTGCTGACAGGTGTCAGTGACATGTTCCTGTTTCTCTCCTAGTCTTTCATGCAGCCCAAACTGTAGGCCCAAATTTACATACGTGAATTGTGTTGCCTGTCTTGGCAGTAAAATACTTCTAAAAATGACTGGATTCCTGGAGAATTTTGTCAGTTTGAGAAGAGATATGAAAACTATACTTTGGGTTTTTTCCAAGGATTTAAATGACTCCTGAGTGTTTTCAAAATAACGGCAATCCTTTGCAATATTTTCTGTGTTTCCTAGAAAACTTCTATAAACCTTTCTCAAAGTCTAGTATTCATATACAGTCTTATTTTTTTCCTCCCTTTGAAAATAGACTTATTTAAATTGAATTTATAGTTATGGTGTTATAGAAATGTTGCAGTAAAAAGAGCATTATGTACAAAACATCATCATTCTAACCACTTAATTTGTTGTCTATGAGCACAAGCTGTATTTTTCTATTTGATTTAGCTTCTCCTAACTTCTGTTAGCATTTCTGTCAGCTAGAGAAGTATGAATTGTCACTGTTCTTATGTGGACTGAATACAGCAGCTGTGTGTCAGAAATAATTTCCCCTCCAACAAGCAATCATTTATCTTTCACTGGTTGCATTTAAATGTGATTTCTCAATTTTTTGTTTCTTTTCTTTTCCCTTTTTTTGTTTTAACTGCTTGGTTAATGACTTGTATGCTTTATATTTTCTTCTCTCTTTCTAAATGTGATTTCAGTTATTATTTCATAACTATGCACATGCTACACTTGCTAACAAAATCTGTGTATGATTGGCTAGGTACGTGTTTACCTGTGCCTTAAAACAAGTCAAAATTATGCTAATTTAATGATTATTTCTTACAGATGTTGTATAAGCATATATTCTAATTACAGTTAATGTGTGCAATCTCATTTATATGTAAAAAACATACATGTTGGCAGTTGACAGTTGGAATCAATTACTTTTAATACTATACGGTTGAGAATGCCTGATTTCTGCAATAACTTTCTAGTGTTCATATTTTTTGTTTTTAATTTAAGCTATAAAAATGGTAAAGCTGTACAGTGGGTTCTCAAGCTAACAGGCTTTAGTCTGAGCAGGTTACTGTTCTGTTTGAGCTGTATACTCAAATGCAGTTCATGTAAAACTCATATTTTTATGTTTTACAGCTACAAATGGTCACTCGGAATGTTTGCGGCTATTGATAGGAAATGCAGAACCACAGAATGCTGTGGACATTCAAGATGGAAATGGACAGTGAGTTTAAATGATACAAATTCTGTTCTTCACAAGTTACTGCATTTTATAAAATGAAAAGCTAAATATTTTACATTGGTGATTTTTAATTTATTAATTTAAGGGGAGATATTTGAACTAGGACAAATGCAACTCTGTATTTTGCAATAAACATAATGTTGGTGGAGAAAAATGTTTTTGTTGAGTTGGGAGGAAACTAAAATGTGTCTTACTGCCCAAATGCTGAAAAAATGGATTCTAGTAACTTAATCGGGACTTCTGAATTAGGGTATATTAATTTATTTTCTTGAAACTAGAAAGCAAGTATGAGTGGCATTCTCAGAGTGCAAGTAGTGCTAGAGAAGATCATTGATGATATAAATGTTAACAGCATTGTCCAGAAGGGTAGTAGTTGTTATATTTCAGCTGAGTGCTAGTCTGTTAAATTTCCATGTAGATTACACTTTATTTCACTCTCTGCTTAGGACTCCTCTGATGTTGTCAGTTCTCAATGGGCACACCGACTGCGTTTATTCACTACTTAACAAAGGAGCAAATGTAGATGCCAAAGATAAGTGGGGAAGGACAGCATTACATAGAGGGGTAAGAGAATATTCCTTTTCTGTCCTTTGCAGTTTTATACATATTAATTTCAAATACAGACTCAAGATGTAGTGTTAATGAATTTCTCATTATTCTCATCTTGCCATTCTTAGTTTTTAATTGTCATTTTAGTTTCAGAAGGCTAGCTTTTGCCTGTATGCTGCATACCCCCAGAATTCTTTTGGACTTCTAGAGTCTCTTAATCTTGCTGTGAAGTGTTGACTGGAGAGGTCCCAGAGTACAGCTTTTTGTTATGGGGTGGGGGTAGTGTTAATGGGAGGAAGAAAAGCATGATGCATGCCATATGCCAAAATTTTTTTTTTATAATTTCTGCCAGATAAGACAATTGAATGAGCCTAGAGATTAGCAGTTCATTCAGTGTTACTCCAAGAAATTATTCTGTCATCAATATTATAATACATTGCTTTTTTCCCAACAGAATTGCTGTTTCCAGGAATAAAAATAACAACTGTGCTTAAGCAATTCTGTTATTACTTAAAAATGTAAGAAATTGCCTGGAGTTTGCTTGCTTTAGTCACACACCCTGGCTTATATACATGAATATGCAAACTTGCTATTTCCTGTCTCATCTCTCACAGGCAGTTACTGGGCATGAAGAATGTGTGGAAGCATTGCTTCAACATGGTGCTAAGTCCTTACTACGAGACTGTAGGGGGCGAACCCCTATACACTTGTCAGCTGCATGTGGACATATAGGTGTTCTAGGAGCTCTCCTGCAGTCAGCTACATCTGTGGATGCAGTACCTGCAATAGCAGACAATCACGGCTATACATCACTGCATTGGGCCTGCTATAATGGTAAAAGACATTAAAATACAGGTCTAAATGTATCTGTTGACACTGAGATAAAAAATTTTACTACCTATAAAAGCAACGTATAAAGTCTGTCCTCTTTCAGTTCGTATTAGTCAATGTAAGGGACATGGTATCTTGAGGGAGAATGCAGTAACATCTAATACATAATATGAGGTGTTTATTTTTGCACTACATTCTTGTTATAAACTGCCTTCTTAGTTTTATGCCTCAAGGAGTCTCTCAAGAAGTTCAGCATAGTAGCTGTGAATAGAAATCTGCCACACATCCCCAAAAAATAATCTTCACAGGGAGTCTTGGGAGGAATGGTTTCAGATTTTTTTTAAACTTGCTTCAAATCAACCTTCATAGGCACAAGAAGCTAAAGCATATAAAAGTGATTTAATAAGAATTTATTTTTTGCTTTGCTGATCTTTTTCTTCACTGATACTTTTCTTGGATTTGGGGGTGAGGGAGGCCTTAAAATGTAGGAAATTCATTCAGCATCTTTGCTAAAGATTTTGTTCTATGTGTTCATTTCCAACGTAGTAGAGTTTCTCATTTATTTCACTTCTGAGTCACATGATAGAGAAAGATCAAGAAGTATGGGTTTAGAGCTTCATTTTACCAGTTATTTTTAAGTGAGTAACTAACTAGACTGTTTTCACAGCTGAAGCAACTGGGTAATACACTGATAACTTGAACTAGAATAACATCTCTTTATCACATTTATAAAATTAAACTCTTACACCTTGGTCCATTTTCAGAGTGACCATAGTGTCTGAATAAAACAAAACTGAAATATGCTTGATTTGTAGAATGAAAATTTGACAGGACTTGTGAAAATACAGATCTTCAAACATCAGTGAATATTGATCTAAGGTTCCCTTCATATGCACATTGAAGATCAAACAGATAGTTACAATTGTTAGCTACCTGTACAGCAGTAGGCTATAGAATTTTGAAAATAATAGTATGATAGGCTGAACATGTTCTTTTTAGGCTTTTGTTACGACTATCAACTTGTTTTTTCTCTGGGTTTAACAAGACAGTGGAACAAAAATAACCCTCAAATGATGGAGACAGTTTCATGTAAACCAAGTGGTGAATGTGCAGCAGAGTTTGAAACGTGGAGGTGTAAAGAACTAAATTAAGCATTCTGGATTTTCTTCAGACAGCATGAGATCCCTTCTAAATTTCACAAAGTTTACAGTGCTGAATGTCAGTTTGATTTTCAGGATTCTAAAAATGTCTTGGTTCCTAAACGTAGCCCTATCAAATATAACCAGTGTGTCTTTGAAACTTTTAAATAAAATATTCCTAATCTAATTTAGATACATATTTTTTGTTGTAATCCATAAATAGACCTTTTCCCTTTTTTTTTTAATATGTAACTCTTACATTTGCTTTAGGTCATGACAGTTGTGTAGAGCTCCTCCTGGAACAGGAAGTTTTCCAGAAAATGGAAGGAAATTCTTTCAGTCCATTGCATTGTGCTGTGTAAGGAAGTGTAAAATTATTCTTCATAGATTTCATTGCTGTATTTAACAAAAGATTTATCATTCTGTAAATAACAGCCTGTTTAATTCATTATAGGATAAATGACAATGAAGGTGCTGCAGAAATGTTAATTGATACACTAGGTGCTGGTATTGTAAATTCAACAGATTCGAAGGGAAGGTAAGAGTGTAAATGCACAGTGAAAGAGTGTTTGTAATGTAACAGAGTGGCTCCGTGAAATTCTACAATCATTTGGGGTTTTTGTATTTGCTACTGAATTTTAATTCTCCCTTCACCCTGTTTTTAGTCTTTGAAGGTTTTTTTTTTTTTCTGTGCTAGAAATAAATTTTAGATTTTTTTAAAAATCCTTTTCTGATTCAATAAACTTGAATTGGCTTTTTATTATATAGGCAAGTTTGAGCATGTTTTAAATAGTATCACTTTGTGGGTAGTATTTTATGCATATTTTATTTTTTCTGAATCAAATTGTATCTCTATTACTAAACTACACAGAGGCAATTATTTGAAACTTGAAGGTGACTTTCTAAAGGCAGCAGTCACAACTCCAGCAATACTGATGTCAAAGGATCAGTGGGAGGGACTGCCCAGTCTTTTGTATCTGCAGGATCACAGTCAGGATGCCTCTTTGAATAAAGTAGAAAGTATGCCTGAAATGGCCATATTGTCTTTTGATCTGTTGTAGAACTCCTCTTCATGCAGCAGCTTTTACGGATCACGTTGAGTGTCTACAGCTTCTGCTCAGTCACAATGCTCAAGTAAATGCTGTAGATTCTTCTGGGAAAACACCTTTAATGATGGCTGCAGAAAATGGACAGACGAATACAGTTGGTAAAGAGAAAGTTTTATATATTCCTGCTCTTAGGTTTGTTAATCTTAATATGGGTAAAGTTGCCTTATAGTTAACATTCTTGTGGATATATTTTGTAAAAATTATGTTTTCATTTTGCACAAATGTAAGCCATTAAGACTTTAAGGAATATGCTTCTACTTAATACAAATCTTTATTTCCCCAGAGGTGCTGGTTAGCAGTGCTAAAGCTGATCTGACTTTGCAAGACAGTTCTAAGAACACAGCACTCCATTTGGCTTGCAGCAAGGTATGTGTGTAGTCTGACTTACCAGTGCTGAGCTTTGTGTTATCAAACACTGTTTGCAAACTAACTTGTTACTTTGAAAAGGCATTCAAAGCAATTTTTGAAGTGTATTTGTTATGTGACAGATTTTTGTTCTGTATTAAGGGTCATGAAACTAGTGCCTTGTTAATACTGGAGAAGATTACGGATAGAAACCTCATCAATGCCACCAATGCAGCCTTGCAAACGTACGTATCAGCAGTGAGTGTGTTTAACAGATTAGGTTTTGGTGTGTATCTTGCTTATAAAGAGGAATAGTTTTCAGAATTTTTTTCCACACTGGTTGAATTTTAATTGCTTAATAGGTACCAAGAGAGTTGAACCGTCTTGAAGTGAAACAGTGTTTTGCTCGTACTTAAAGCTCTAGTTTTAGCTGGGTAAAAGGGATGATAAATAAATCTTAACAGTATTGTGATTCAGGGAATCCTGTGTGGAATTACTGCAATCCACTGAGATTACCTCATTCTAGACTTGCTCTTCAAAGCTAGCTAAAGTATGTTTTTATTCTACAGCATGCTTTCTGTTAGCAAAAGACACCTATTCCTACTAGGATGAAAGACCATTTTCTATTAAATATTATGGAGAATACAGTATTCTTAATGCTTCCTGAAGATCTTCTCTCAATTAGAATTAAGCCTATTTTGTTAGCCCAATCATAAGGAAAACTTCAAAATGTAGTGGTATGTCATACTGGGGAATATATATCAGGATGGGCTATTAAAATGACTCTTCTGCATTTGACACCTGATATGTAGCTGAGTTATGTACATGAATTATTAGACTGCTTTAATAATGCTATCACAGCAACTCATGTATTTCTCTGGCCTTACATCCCTTCTGGAATCTGTCGTGTTCAAACTCCTACAGTTCTTCCAACTATTTCCAGAGATCTGCTTGAACTGAGGAGTTAAGATAGTAAGACTTCTGCTGCTGCTCTTGCTGTTCACCAGGGTGCACCTCAGGCAGCATGAAATAACCAGAAAGCAGGAAAGGGATTGATTGCCTCATTTCTGCCTTGAAGCAGGGATGTTTTGAGAGAAGGAAAAGCAAAAACAAGATGGGAACAGAAGTGAGAAAGTGTGCTACCACAGGCTCATGTAATTCCACCTACATGCCTTGGCTCATATAGTCTGATCAAGAGATGTCATAGAGAAAAATAGGTACATATTTGCACCTCCATGAAATGTTTATATAAATTGCAAGATTTTAACAGTTGTTTAAAATATTACTGGTTTAGCAAATGTTTTTTAATAACTAAACTGACTTTCTAAATAGCTTAAACAATGTCCTACTGTGTGGCAAGATAACCATTAAAATTGTTGGCCTCTATATTAAAAATATTATAGTTACAGTACATTTTTCAGTATATCTGTGGTGTGCAGTAGTTCTTTAATTTTAATACTTTAATGTAAGCACCACAGATACAGCTGCTCCTATTTGTATCTTTTGCATTTCTGGTTTCTAAGTAAGGTGCTTGTTTCCAAATGAAAACATAGTTCACAGTTAATTCAAACAATTTTAAGAATCTCAAAATGATTGGAGAGCAATATAAAGCAGAAGGGAAGTAAGCTGATCATTCTGTTTTCTGCTGAGTTGGTGGTAGGTTTTATTTAAGCCAGTGGCAACCAATTTTGGAAAATGGTTGCATTTGAAAAAGATATAATTAGAATATTTGAGGTAAAGCTACACTTTCCTTGATATATAAGTCACTGCAGAACAGAGTTATGGTTAATAGTTTGAGGTTTTGAAAAGTAATCTGCTTTTCTTGCTTCATGCATGATACTCTAAAATATTTTTTTTATCTCTAGTCAATGGAATGTAGCTGTTTCTAAAAGGCAGATTGATAAAATGCGTCTGCATCTCTTAGAAGCATTTACATGCAATAGAATATGACTACCATTCTGCTGTTAGTATTCTAATGATTATTGCCAGTGATATGTAGTAACTCAGGTGTGACAGTATCTGTTACAACAGTTCAGTGAAGGATTTATCAAGAGTAGGGTACTAGATGTTTCTAACTTTTTAACATGATAAAGTTCATAAGCAGGCAGGTCTTTCTAGTAGCTACTTCTTCAATGTGTGGTGCCATAAAAAGAAGAAAGTGCTCAATTGTTACTGTACAGTTTCTTTGCAATAAGATAATGAGACATTTGCTGGTTTTCCCATCTTAGTTATTCTATCTACAATATCTATATAATGTGTAAATAACATACAAGTATAAATACTTTAAGAGTCATTTAACTAGATGCAAGCTACCTATCTCACTTACTATCTTGTTCTAAGGTTTATATATGAGTTTGCTTGTCTTCACAGACCTCTGCATGTTGCTGCTCGGAATGGACTAACGGTTGTAGTTCAAGAGCTTTTAGGGAAGGGAGCAAGTGTACTTGCTGTAGATGAAAATGGTAAGAAAAATTTAACTTTGTTTGCCCATACGGAACTGTGGTTTTAAACTCACCTCACTGAAAAGCAATAACCCTTTGGAAATTTTGTATGAGCCTTGCAGTAGGTTCCCCCATAGAAAAAAATGTGTTGGTGATGGGTCATTTTAGCAAAGCAGCAGAAGTGTAAGGAGAGTGAAAACTTTCAGAGCAACACAGGTCACGGCATAGAAATGTTTAGTTTGCATTTGTAGTTTATAGTGTATACCCTATAAATACACTAGCTTTAGCATGCTGAAAACGGTCAGAAAAACATAATGCTCAGAGTAAAATGTAACTTTCAGCTATTGAGAAGCTGAATTGAATTGCCATTCATTTTGTCACGGTAGGTGTATGGGTGTTAGATTTTAAAAGCAGGTATGAATTACAGATCTCAGTTACTGGTCTCAAGCTTCTGGCTCTTTAGAGTTTTTTGGCACATAGAAGTCAGAAAAAGTAACTGCTTTTTCACAGAGACTAAATCCTATACCTTGTAAGAACAAAAGAAAATTTGATCTATTGACTTCTTATTTGCATATTTTCATGCAAGACATCTGTGGTCCTCCGAAGCTGTGCTTTTAAAAATGTAAGAGCTCCTGCTCTTATGCCATACCCTAAGGTGTCTTCAGTGAAAGCAGTAGCTGGCGTTTGAGGGTGGGGTGGGGGTGCTTTTTTGTTTTGTTGGTTTTTAGCAGTTTTGTTCGTTTTTCCAGAAGGGATGCACCTAATTAATAGTTCTAATTATATTTCCAGTTCGGAAAGTTTTTCCTCTCTTAATGTTTACTGTGACTTTCTTTGTGTGTTTCTCAAATTACACTGCTTAAAGTGACATGGGTGACTTAAAGATCATTCCTTGCCTAAAATAGGGTACAAGGGTAACTGCTAAATGAAACTCCCTAAAATGAAAAGATTGGAAAACATCTTTTTGATTTCTGTTTCTCATCACAAGTATGCTAACTGGAGATGTTTGTATGTTTGTGGGCTTTCCATGTGCTGCCAGCCAGTCCCTTGTATAGGGTTGATCTTTGACATAACAGAGAAAAATGTCATTTGTATAGATGACGCAGTTCTCTGGCAGCCTGGGGATCTAACTGCAACATGTTAAAACTTGCTTTTACTTCTGTACATATTTTAAATTTTAAAGTAACTCTTCAGTGCTACCTAATCTTGTTCCTCACTGTGGTTCTTTTCTTTCTAATAGCAATTGTTTTGTTTATAAAATTTTAAGCAGCCTTGAGAATATTCATAATGAATTCTTCTTCTGTTGGATGAATATGCCAGCTTAAAGTACAGTATGTGAAAGTGATGAATACTTTAAATTGTGAGAGAGGAAGGGAAACTTTCATGGGATTTATCACTCTGTTTCACCTGTCACTAATTTTTTCTTAATTCTTAGAAGTATTAGTATGTCAGCAGGCTTGCTAAACCTGTTGCAAAAGTTGTCTTGATTTCCATAGTGTACCTCTCACATTAAGTGGAAAAGCTGGCAGTAGTGATAGCCAGGTTCTGCTTTAGGTCTCCTTGCCTTTGATTTTAGCATCTACTGCTAGAGTGTAAGTGTTTCTAAAGAAAAAAAGAATTACATACATTTATGTAATTCTAATAAAGTAAAAATCTAGGAGAAACTTTGATTTTTTTTTTTTTTTTTTTTTAATTAGAAAGGCTTAAAAGAGTATGATTCGTGTATTTTGGGGGTGAAAGCTATCTGTTTAGCAAAGCAGACTGAAGAAATAGGCGCTGGAATATTTTACATCACAATACTGACATTCTCTTACTTTAAGGATAGCTCAGATAAGTACAGTGATCTGTCACGCAAACTTGGCATTTCAGATAGAATTGGATGAAATTGGAGGTAAAGTCTGAGTTAGTATTTTACATGGAAGCATGTCTTGATACACAGAACATGTAAACAGAACCTCAGCTGGTATGGGGTGGTGATCTCCTTTTTGTCTTTGAAGTTGTCCCTTTCTATAAAGGCTGCACTGACCTTTTTTACAAGCAGTCTCTATTTGTATCTATATCTGTATAAAACTACTTTGTAGTCCTCTGCTGCTGTATCTGGGCTACAGAAAATTATTGAAAAACATGAGCTTTGAAAAAAATCACATCAGTTCTCTGCTTTTCAGCTTATAAATAATTTATAAGATACTTAAAACTCTAGATTTGAAGTCATACTGCTTTTGTTACAGACCATCTCTTCATGTGATGAGATCACTTTTTGAGATGTTATCCTGGCTTTGGCTGGGATGGAGTTAAATTTTTTTGTAGTAGCTGGTACAGTGCATTTTGGATTTAGGTGAGAATAATGTTGATAACACACTGATGTTTAGTTGTCGCTAAGTAGCGCTTATCCTAAGTTAAGGATTTTTCAGTTTCCCATGCTCTGCCAGCAAGCAGGTATACAAGAAGCTGGGAGGGAGCATGGCCAGGACAGCTGCCCTGAGCTAGCCAAAGAAATATTCCATACCGTAGAATGTCAGGCTCAGTATATAAACTAGGGGAAGTTGGCCAGATCGCTGCTCAGGCATTGGTCAGCTGGTGGTGAGCAATTGCATTATGTATCACTTCTATTTTCTTAGGTTTTATTTATCTCTCTCGCTCTCTTTTTAAAAACTATTCATTATTATTGTTATTACATTTATTATTATTATATTTTATTTTACTTTAGTTATGAAACCATTCTTACCTCAACCCACGAGTTTTACTTTTTTTCCATTTTCCTCCCCATCCCGCTGGGAGGGAGGAGGAGTGAGCAGCTGCATAGTGCTTAGTTGCTGGCTGGGGTTAAACAATGACAGATGTTTAAGAACTAATGTCTTTGGAATAAATATAATCCTCTTGGTTTTCAAAAGATTAAATGCAACTGAAACAGCAAATTAACTAGCCAGTATATTTCCCAAAAGTAGTCATGCTGGAGGTTCATTCTCAGTTCTGTATCATTTCTCACTCAAATCTTTCAGTTCTTTTGCCATGTTTCCACACTTGTCTTGATGAAACTTTGCCATCACTTGCATCTACAAAAATGCTGTTGAATTTTACATTATTTATGCAAGTTTACCTGTCTTAAAAGAAGTTACTAGCTTTTTCTTTTATTTGACACCAGCTGAAGTTTTAGTTTTGGTCACTCAACCCACTTTTCAAGTTTGGGGTTTTTTTCTTTTGGGTTTTTTTTCCCATTATTTAACTTACTAGGCTAGCTAAGTTTCCTGATATGGTCTGTCTTTTATTTGTGATATTAATGTGTACCACAGTAGTGAGAGGAGGCATTCTCTAACTCCGGAGACTGACATAGCGTGGAGGTTTCTCTTATTTTCTACGTTCATCATTACACTGATGATTGGACTTTCAAGCTTAAAAAAAAAAAAAAAAAAAAGAGGGGAGGAAAAAAATATTTTATTGTCTAGTTCTTTTCCAAGCCTTCCTTTACTCATATTTCTGGTTTATAATATTGGAGACCTCCAGTTTTCTGGAAGGAATTTTTCTTGTAAATGTTTACAAGATGACTCACACCTCAGATGACTTTCTTCTCTTTCCCAAGCGTAAGACTTCATTCAGTTTATCTTGAGAACTGTCTTTGCACTGACCACATTAATAACCCTCTTGATTTTCCTGTAGGCACCCTCACAGAAACTTTCAAGCCTCAGGGGAGTGAGCAGCTCTGCATTTGGGCAGGGGCAGCCCTGGTCCTAAGTCAGTGTCCACCACTTAGGCTCTGTTTTCTGTTGTGCAAGGAAGCCGCTTCACCTTACTGCTTCTTTTGCCCTGTATATAAATGAAGAGAGTGATTTTTTTTTTTTTTTTTTTTTTTTTTGTCCTTTGAAAGTTTATGCAAATACAAGTACATACTATGGGGGAACATTATATGAGAAATGAGTAAGAGTATTTCAGTGAAGTTGGTACCTTTACCAACATCTTATTAAAACAACATTTAAAGTATTTATACCTATTGTTGCCCTGGCATATGAATGATCAGTTTGCAGTTGTTTAAGGGACATAAAAATACAATTTGTTCGTACAGTTTTAAGGTAATATAGACAAAAATAAAGTGGTGGAGGATGCAGATGTCAGTCTTTCATGGTGCAAGCAGTTACTTCATTTTGCTATATCTAAGGCAAGAATAAAACTGTGATATTTCATTTCTAGTTATGAAAGCCAGAAGCTTAAGATCTACAGTCGAATATTAGTATAAATACTGTTTTTAGAGACCTTTTAAAAGAAGCAAATAATCTATTTAATCTTTATGTTGGCCTTTAATGTTTTTTATGATGAACTGGGATGCTCAAAGGTAGCTGGTGACTGCTCGTTTTTCTTCTTTGAGCTTTTATCAAATCATGTTAGTGAAAGAAATGGCGTTGATTGAGTATGGCCAGCTTGAATAAACTTAATTTGTGTCTTCTTACCTTCATATAATCTCCAGCAACTGTAGATATTAAATTGTGTGCATTTGAGTATCAATGCTGAGCCTTCTGTTCTGCCTGACATGCCTGAAATGCAGTCTTCATCCGAGTGTAGCAAGCTCTGGCCCTTGCTTCTGAATCCTCTCAAAATGTATCTCTTCTGCAGACTGTCACTGTTAACTCTGAGCTGTTTAAGTGCTGTGATACCTTACTAACAATGAAAACATCTGCTGCGCTGCACTTCTGTACGGCCCTATCGCATGGTCAGCTGGTGCGTTTTGTGCTTGAATTATCTGTGTGTTTCCTTGGATTGTATGCTCCTTTGGGCAGGGACTGTTGTCTTACTCTGTTCCAAGCATCAAGCACAAGGTCTGTCCTGAGCAAGTAGTAGTTCAAATGCAAGATTGTCTGTCCCCTGCTTGCTGTTTTCTTAATTTCTAGCCACAGTTATTTTCCACAGTGTGCCTACTTGTTTAAAACTTCTGTGCAATTGTACAACACAATACTCCTGAGCTGTAGCCTAACACTTGTCCTGGATCTACTTCTACAGTAAAGATGATATCTTAGTAGTTGAAACACTTGCTGGCAGAACAGGCATTGCCTGGTTTTCCATGCCTTCCTAAGGTCTGAATAGAAATCCATCATGCGGTTTGCTTTAAAGCCATCTATTATTTAAAATTACTTGTGTGCTTTTTACCTGGATGTTGTACACCTTTATGTTGTGGACTGGGCGTAGTGCAGGACTTCAGACTTCCAAATGTTACCTGAACATGAGCCTTCCTGTTCCGCTCATTGTGGGCACATCTATCGCATGCAGTGAGAGGTACTGCAAGGTGATCTGGCCACCCGCTTCTGAGTGGAGCCAGGTGGAGGGAACTGACTTTGGTCTTGGCAGCAGAATTAGCTGTTATCTGTGGTTGTACTTATGTGACTGCCCTGCTTCTAGAGCTGCTCTTGTCACCACCAGTTGCAGTGCCTCAGTGTTGCAGATGCACCCTGAGACCTGTGCCACAACTTCAGGAGCCTTGCTGAAGGATTAAGCCTAAAGCCAGAGACAGGAGCAATGCACAGATCTCCACTGAGGAGAATTTGAAGCGTTTTTCTTGACACTTAATGAGTAGAGGCAAGTACATAGGGAAGGGGGAAGCTGCAAAAGGAGAAATGTTGGAGGATTATTAGAGCCGCAGTTACCCAGAGGAGATTTCACAGCTACATGACCTGACTGCAAATCATTCCACAGCCCGAGACGTCCTGCATTTGGGGGTTGTCACAGTAGCATTGCCTGGAAGGAGGAGTTTGGCCAGACCAGTTGGGCAACCAAGAGGTGTAGTTTCTCTCTGCGAGTCCTAGCCTACTACTCCACCTGGCATTTCCTCAAACTTCTGTGGATTCTTAATTGATATCCTTCAAATAAAAGTTAGACATTGGCTTTATAGTTTATGTTACTGTACATTGTAATAAAGTATAGGTTGATTGAAATTGTATACTCTGCCTTTTCAATTAACTGGCCCTGATACTTTAGCCAGCTTGTTACTGAGATAGGACAGTCCTATTAAAATAACTGTCTGTGATGAACAGCTATATGGAAGTTTCTGGATGAAGAAATAGTTAACATGTTGAGCTGCAGTTTCTGCAGTGGCTGCCTAGCAAATGCCTTCACCCGCCACTGTTGGCTGCCATTAGCTGTCCCTCCTCAGCCAGGTGACTTCCTCACTATTTGAAAATCCAGGCTTTTCTCACTGGCCTAGAGTGTCTGACTGTGCTTAACAAAACAATTGCATCTCTGTTCCAAAGCCCACTAACTTCTGGGTTGTTTTTGTAACTGAAAGCTAAAAAATTCTAATTGATAATGCATTTAATTTTATGGTTTGATTTTTTTTTTTTAAACAGTGCAGAACTAAGCAATATAAAATATTTTTGCAGCTGAAAGATGACAGTTCTTGGAGAAATTTTTACATTGTCTTTATTTTAAATGAAGGTTTCTTTTTTTCTTTACTTTCTAGGTTATACACCAGCTTTGGCCTGTGCGCCCAATAAGGATGTGGCTGATTGCCTGGCTCTCATTCTGGCCACAATGATGCCTGTTTCATCGAGCAGCACATTACCTTCCCTTACATTCAATGCCATTAATCATTACACCAACACCTCAAAAACTGTCACCTTCGATTCCTTGCCAATCATGAGGAGTGACCATAGCTCTTACTGTACTTTCAACAATATTGGCAGGGAAGGTGGCTACCCATATACAGAAGAAGACGAACTCAATGACTCAGATTCTGAGACCTATTAGAAGCTACGTTTTGTAGGTCTGCAGAGTGAACCCTCACACTGGAAGGTCAGACTTGTGCTTTTGAAAAAAGCTATCCGTGTTTGGATGCAAAAAGAGGACAGACCTTTGAGAAGATGTTTTTTATTGTGGTTGCATATAAAAAAAAAATCTGTGAGACTCTAGGAGGATTTTTAAGAGCATATTTTGCAGAAGAAGCATAAATTCTTGAATAAGTACTTGGAATCCATGGCAAAAAAAAAAAAAAAAAGAATGTCAAAACTGTTTTATTTAACTGTATTCTACCATTCTGTTTCTGGTGCCGGGAGTAATTTCTGCAGACTGGGCACCTGACTTGATGTAAATGAACAACACTATTGTACAACACAAAGGATGCTAGATTTAAATGATATCAATAAAACTAAAAGCATTTTGAAGGCAATAAATGAGTTTGGTACAGTAGGCATTGTTTGTGCTGCAAATTGCCAAAGGACCAAATAACTTAAAGGGGTTTTTTTTTTTAATTAAATACGTTTTTGTGAAAACTGGAATAGGTTATTTGAGAAGTTGTTTCAACCAAACCTTAATTACTTCTGGAAAAGAAGCTTAGATTTGGTTTTAAATGTAGATATTTTTTTTTTTTTTTAAATCATCTGAAAGCCTTCCGACACTATTAAATGTACCATGAAAGAAAGCAGATGTACTTTTAAGTTTTGTTTTCCTTTTCATTTAGATGAAATGAAAATGAACTTGTCATACTTTTATAATACTAAAATTAAACCAGCTAACAAGGTGAAGTCAGGGTGAAAAATGTACAGTGTAATAAACAAGGGAAGGGGTGGGAGATGTGGGAGGGAAGCAGTAATTGTTGCACAGTTTTAGATTTTTTTAACTTTTGGGTTTTGGAATGAGATTTTTTTAATTTAAAAATATGCTAGTAACTTGGAAACCATGAAACTGCATAAAAAATTGAAATGAAATGTCTTGATAACCCTGTTGTGACTGAGAGTTCTTTTGAATAATTTGTCCACTTCCTTACATCAATTTGTATGTAAGATTAAAATTGTATATCCCTATAACTTTTTTTTTTCCCCCAATCCTGGAGTTACAAGGGGAGGGAGGTGAATTTAAAAGTATATTTCCCTATTAGAGAAAAAAGTACAGTGTCTGGTCTGTGGGAAGAGCTGTGTATCTTTGTTGTGCTCCATTTAGAAAATAAACAGCAGAAACAGGTCCCTGTAATGTAGTTCACACTTGCCCGAATATTTTTTTTATTATTATTATTTATAACAGACTGTGGTTTTTTTAACTGCCTGAAGAATGAAAAACTGACATAAGTAAGCTGAAGTTTTGTCTGTTAAATATGAATATTTACTTTATTTGGCTCTGCTTTAACTATAACTGTTACTTTTCAAGTGGATTTGTTTATGTACATGCAAGGAATCCTTGCATGTCCTGGTAAAGTACAAATAAATTACTACAAACTGATTCCAATTTCCTTTTTATCCTTTTTGTATTGTGAAACTGGAAATCTTTATTATATTGTAAATTATCAGCTGGTTTTCTGAACATAGTGTGGAAACATGGGACAATATTTTGATCTATTTGATAATTTTGTGGGGTTTTTGAAGAATTAATGAGCATGTACATAGAAATAGTGACTGCTTGAATACTGTATTTACCTGCACTCTTTCAGTACTTCGAGATTCCTGTATATTTTACGGAGTATAATAAAACCCAAATGTGAGTTCTACTAATGAATAATTTATTTGTATCTACTAAGCATTAATGACAAAGTCTCTTGCTGAACTGTTAGAATTTATAAAATCTACTTCGTGAAGGCTTTCCCAGAATTTTAATTCTAAAGCAAAGGTGAAATATTTAAATTTTAAGTAATTTTAAATGTTAAATTACTTAATTATTCATTTAGGCTTCCTTTGAAGTATTACTTTCTTTACCATTTGTGCCTGTGTTCATTGTATATATATGCAATATGTTTGTGAGCGGAATTAGACGACTTCAGGGAGATCGTGATTTCTGTATTTTCTTCCCTCTGAATCTTTCAAGTATGGGGCTATGGGGCTATGTGGGAGTGATGTACGTGCCTCAGCTGAGCATGCAGGCAGCACTCAAAAGATCCATATTGGCCTGTCTTGAGATGCAGTGAATCTATTTAAATACAAAGGTTGAAGGAGCATGGACCCAGTTTTCCTCATATGCTTGTGGGAGATCTGAATCAGAGTGCCAAGTAGCATGCCTGCTATTTAAAAGGTAACAACGGCATATTTCTGTTAATGAAACTGTCCAATTTTTGTCCCTTCAAAAGAACCGTGAGAAGATGCTATTAATAGGCCTTTATTATCTCTGCTAGCTCCTATCTGACTTCAGGATGACCTGTTACCTCAGTGTGTGGCATCTGTAGCCATAGGGCAGTTTATAGGAGGGGACACTCCTATCTTACTTGAAAAATTGGCAGGGCAGAGATTGAGAAATATTCATGTCTGCTGTGCACCCGGATGATGGAGGAGAAAAAGCTCAGAAGGCGTTGGTTTAAGTGTTAAAAGATTTGGATACGGAATACACACAAATGCAGAAAACAGTGCTGTTGAACACTTTTGTTTCCGTATAGCAATCAGAAACTGTGCCTCTCTTCCATTTCATTATTACTTGCATTTTGAGGAAGAAAACTTTTGCTGCATTAAATTGCGTTATTTTTAGGTTAAGTTTTGTGAACTTTTTAGAGCTAAAGATATGCCTTTTTTTATTAGGAATTAATTCCATTTAGGAATTCAGAGTTACATGATTTGTATATCTTACCTATCTCATCATTAGAATTTATTCAGTGAGCCTGTAGATTGCAATTTGTATGTATTTGGTTGTTCCTATTTAAAATAAAAAAACAACAAAACCAAACCAAAACCAAACAAAAAAACCAAAACACACCCCCCCCCCCCCCCCCCCCCCCAAAATTACTCCATTACTACCTGGCAGTCTGGGTAGGACAGTAATTGTGCCTTGTAAGTGATAATTTGGGCTATTATTAGAATATGATCTTATTCCAAAAAAAGGAATGTGATTTGTTTAAAGAACATGCTACTGTGGTCGAGAGACCACTCTCTTAATGAGAGGTCAAGGAACAGAAGGTTCCTTGTTTCTGTAAACCAAATAATGCTGTCTGTGACTGGGGGGAGGGGGGAGGTATTTAAAAAAAAAAGAAAAAGAAGAAAGTGTTCATACCTCAGTGGAGGCCTTTTCACTTCCAGAAAATTATACTGGAACCTCCATCTTCCTAAAAGAAATCCTCTTCTTTTTGTACAGATGAACAGGGCACCATTACTGTTACAGCCTTGATCCAAACAGTCTCTTGGATTTTTACCAAGAGAGAGCAGTGAGCCTTGGCTGGACCACTGAAGCAGTATACTAGAATAAAAGAAACCCTTTTTATCCTGGATGGCGGAGCGGGGGGGGGGGGGGGGGGGGGGGGTGTGTGTCAAATGGACTTCAGGAATGAGGACAACCAGCTCTGCTCAGCTTTCTGTGTACTCTGACTTCTGGGATGTTTTATGGGTTTTCAGTTCTCAGGATAAACGTTCTGCAGGAGAAAACACCAAGTTAGTTAGTATTAACCTCCTAGGCTGAGCTGTTACTTTTAGAGTGTACTGTGGTAGCATAAATGCTGGATGCTGTTAAAAAGAAGAATTAGTGTGTGTGTCCCGTGCACCCCCCCCCCCCCAAGAGTGACCCTACTGTAATCTAAAATATTTTTCTTGCAGTTTCTTACAAAATCTTGTTCTCTCTGTCTCCTGCTTTGTATTTCCTCTTTATTACTCTTTATTGCTTTCCCACACTTAAGTATCTCCAAAATAATCATATAAATATTTGGAACAATTAGAGCTAGAAATACGCTCTTTTTAAACTTGGATCTTGATTGTGGTTGGTTTGGGGGCTTTTTGATCATGTATTTTCTTGTTTAAAATCCTGACTTTGTCTACCAGGCTAAAGAATTAATAAATGTTTGGTTAAAAAAGTTAATATTTAAAAATTAATTACTTTAAAGTTTTGCTCCTTTTAACATCTACACAAAGGGCACTAAAGATCCCAAAGCTGCTACCTAAGCTGTACGGAAGATGACTAAAAAGGAGTCTGATAGAATGTTTACAGATTCTGTCCATTTAAAGGCAACAACGACTGTAGTAATCCAGAATAACATACTCTATAGTCTAGTTTACAAAAAAAGAAAGGAGAGAATACTCATTAAATCCAGTTGATTGGAGGTAACACAACTGTTGTTCTGGTAGCTCAGCTTCTTTATTGGAAAAAAACAAACTTCTGTTAACCATACAAGAACTGGGTGAGAGGATAAAAGCCTGTACAAAGACTGTAAGCAGCAGTGAATATTGTACAAAGGACTGCTGTCTAGCATATACTTGTGAGAAGTTTTTTCATGTGCATAATCATGGAGTATTTTTAACAGTGCTAGATGTGTCGAGGAGCCCATACTACTTCATTCCATGTTTGGATCAGTGAGCTTCACATCATAAAAACTGAAACCTAAATAGAAAGGACAAGTGTTTATGGAAGCAGCAGTTCTGGAGGACTGGAGGATGTGCTCTTTGGCTCTTCCCCGGCAGCAGCTGTAGGAGCAGCAGGAGGAGCTGGCAGGAGTACCCTCCTCATCTCCCACCACTTTGCTCTATTGCTCTGCTAATGGTACGTACCCTCTGATGATGATACACACCCACTTCCCAAAAGAAATGCCATTGTGCTTTTGGTTAAAAAGCATTGGTTCCTGATAATCAAGTCCTGGTTGGAATCAGACTAATAACCTTGGAGAGAAGGGCCTTTATAATCTCTGAATAAGTAGTTTAAACTTTTAACACCACTTTCGTAGGTCTGGATTTAAACTCGGCAAAATCCATTTTAATATCAGGAAAAAGTAAGTCTTGAAATTCTTGAAGTTGGTCCAGCAAATTCATAGAAATCCTTAAATCCAAGATTGGTAATTATTGCCTCTGGTAGTAATCTCTCAATGATTTGTGATGACTTCCTTATAATCCTTTAATATGCTGCAGAAGCTGATGGGACAGTTGGAGAAGAATTTTTTCAGATTAGGATTTAAAACCTTTATTTATAAATCTGTAGCTGTGACTCTAAATTGGACAAGAATTTATAAAACATGGGTCTCCTTTACAGACTGAAACCTGAGATGTTACATGTGAAGAGACACAATACAGGCCTCTTTGTTCACTGATAGCATTGGCTTTTTTCTTTTTCTGGGGTCCTTTTCTCACTATAAAGTCCGTATGTTTAGAAGAATGTTTAGTGCCAAGGAACCACCGCGCGTTAATTTGAAATGGCAAACCAACTGGCTGTTCTTAAGAAAATACCCTTTTATAATGATTTATAGGCTTTATCACAAAAATCCCTTTGTTTTACTGGTTAACAGGAGAAGCAAACTCCTGGCTGGATATTGTAATGTCACCCAGGCCCCTAGTCTGATCCATGTATCCCTGTCATACCTACTGAGAGAAAAGCTATCTGAAACAGCAGCCGTGGAAGGAGTGTTTCTTTCAGTTGTTCAGTCATCTAGAGCCCAGGAAAATCGCAAGAGTGATTCAGTTTCCTTTCCCTGGGGGAAAAATAGTTACAGATGTGCCTAAAATTTTAAATCTGTGGGCTTTTACCCATCTCTACCACTCATCTTGGAACTAAATGTTCCTGATGGGAAGATGATGAGCGTCCCTACTTGAGGGACTTGAAGATTTCTTGCAACTCTTTCCAACCCAGTATCCCAGTCTCTTTAGCACTGTTATTTGTCTTCAGATAAAGCAGTATCTAAATTACCCATGCTTCCCTGGTGCTGTGTATTATTTCACATTAGGATAAACTGAACTCCTTCCATTCCATGCTGTTTTAGCAATTTTCAAACCAAGATTGAGAAAGGAATCTGCAGTATTTCACCATGTAACTGTAAACAGTTGGATAACCTAAAAAGCCCTTCAAGCCGTCTTAATATTGTTAGTGTCACTAAATATTTAAAGAGGAGAAAAACACCTCCATTCTCTTTTTTCATTAAAATTGGCACAGAAGCAACTAGAAATTTTGCTATTCAGATTCACAGCAGAACAAAACAAACCCCCGCTTCCAAGCCTTGTCAAATGACAGATACGCAGGTCTTCTTCTCATTGTACCTGCGAGTTGACTTAATTCGGAAAGCTTAAGACACTTGAGTCTTGGATGTTCTTTTATGTTAAAAGAATAGATTAAATACCTTAAATAGTTTTAAAGCAAAATCTAAGGATTCATGTCCTATCCTACCATCTATTTCCTATCCCTTGCCAAACTTTGTTATTCAACCTGTCTGCATAGTTTCCTTAAAATCTTAAAAATCTTTCTTAGTATCATATTAACATCTTACTGAATTCAACCTTTCTGATCTCTCCTACCAAGAGTCTGTCTGATCTGCTGTGGGTGCCACTAACGATCATCGCTGACTTCTGACCCGTGTTGCCTATGCCTGCCCTCCCAGCGGAGGAAGGAAGGAGAGCACAGTGAATCTCTGAAGTACTTCCCTTGCCATTGACCATTAAAAACTTGACTGAGCGAGAACTCTCACTTCAGCCTGTGAATAATTGGGGTCTTCAGGAATGGCATGTGTCAACACTTTGGGGTTTTTTTTTAACCTACATAAATGGAGGAGGAGGGGGTATTTCTTTACAGCCACTGAATCTGCATGTGCACCATAGTGGTGGT